AGGAGACTGTAGCTGAGCAGGTCCTTTCTTTCAGCTAGCTTTACTAATGGAAGATCCAAGCCTGCAAAATCAGAGCACCACTAAAATTCAGTCATTTAAGAAAAAGTTAGATGTTTTCCCTGAAGTGAATTCAAGCAACTATCTGGAATCATACGCTTTCCAAGAAATGACTTGTTTTAAAAAAAGATCCTCAGTCCTTTCAGTGATGCTTTGAAAAAAAGACAATTCAGGTCTCCATAATCCTTCAAACTGAAATTCACAAAAACTATTGAATACAAAGCCATCATAACAATATTATGCCAACTGTTCTTGAATTTTTCCCTTTCAGAGGAAATTAAGTTTCTGAATGTACCTGGCCATTGTAGATGTTTTCTTACCAGCCTGTTCTGGAATGTTATTACACTTCTCTGGAGCAAGTGGAACTTAAACCTGGACCTCCTGGGAGACAGTACGAGTTCATGATATAAGCCCTAAACCTAGTTTTCATAACTTAAAAAATCTCAATTTAAATCATACTGTCTACCTCCAAAACCCGATGGAATGCTAAACAAGTATGTGCAGTGCCACGAGGTACTTCAGTGGCCTCGTGCATCATGCAGATTAAAATGAAACTCTATGACTAAACCTCAAATTCAGCCTGTGATCTGTCGCCTTGACTGATACAGAAGTCTGGGCAGTTCATTGGGTTTACTGTAACTCCGAAATTGTATTCCGTAAAACTTGTTAGAAAACATTTGTCAAACGAGGGATGACATTGTCAAGTAATCTGTAAGTAGTTACATAACTTAGAATATCATTATTTTACATAGTGTGTTGCTAATTCCTGTAGAACTGTATTGCTTTGTTTATTAGTGTCATCCTTAGCCGATAACGTTCTTATCGGAGTCTCAACATGATGGATTCAATCCCACAGAAAGATAGAAGGACAGCACACCGAGAGGTGCAGTACTGAGAGGCTTTTTTAAGTTCACTTGTGGGATATAGGTGTCACTGGCTGGGCCAGCCTTTATTGCCCATCCACAGTTGTGCTTGAGAAGGTGGTGTGAGCTGTCTCCTTGAATCGCTGAAGTCCATGTGCTGTAGATCCACAATCCCAGGAAGGAATCCCAGGATTTGGACCAAGTGACAGTCAAGAAATAGTGATATATTTCTAAGTATGGTGGTGAGTGGCTTGGCGGAGAACTTGCAGGTAGTGGTGTTCCCATGCATCTACAGACCTTTTCTTTCCAGATGGTAGTGGTCAAGTGTTTGGAAAATACTGTCTAAGGATCTTTGAATTTCTGCACTGCATCTTACTGATGTTACCCAAGTCTACTGAGTGTCGGTGGTAGGGGGAGTGGATGTTTGTGGATGTGGAGCCTGTCGAGCGGGCTGTTTTGTCATGGATGGAGTCAAGCTTCATGATTGTTGTTGGAGCTGTACCATCCAGGCAAATAGGGAGTACTCAATTATACTCCTGTCTTGAGCCTTTGTAGATGGTGAGTAATCTTTGGGGAGTGACTAAGTGCAATATTCCTAACCTCTGGCCTGCTCTTGTAGCCACTGTATTTATATGGTGAGTCCGATTTCAGTTTCTGGTCAGTGGTAACCCTAACGATGTTGCGAGTGGGGGAGTTCAGTGCTGCACAAGAAAAAGTGCTATATGAGATCTGGTTGCTTTGCTAGATCTGCTGTCTGCCTCTTCGAGGTACATGTAAAAGACCCCATTTCATTATTTTATCCCTGTTGTTAAGACCAAGATTTATCCTTCAATCAACAGCTCTCAAAAAGTTGTGGTCATGATCACATTGCTGCTTTGCAAGAGTTTGCTAGGTGCCAATTGGCTGCTTCATTTCCTACATTACACCTGTGCTTTCACTTCTCAAGTACAGAATTAGATGTAAAATGCTAGGGCCATCTGGTTATTGTGAAAAGCACTGTATAAGTGCAGTTGAGCCAGGACGCCCAGTTTCAAGTCCCACCTGCTCTCGAGGTATGTAATGACATTAGTGAACACTTGGAAAATATCTAAAAATGTAAGACATTTCTTAGTGTTAGCCATTATAAAGTCTAGAGCTAAAGGCAAAATACTACGAATGTTGGAAATCTTAACGAATTAAGTTTCTCAAGCATTCAATGTACCTGACAGTATCTGTGGAGTGAGAAATAGTGTTAATATTTCAAGTATGGTATGATTCTTCAAAACTGAGAGGTGTTAGAAATGAGGGCTTCTGAGTTTTGAGTTACGTGGCTTATAGACTGGAATAGGTTGATGATAGGCCAAGTTATTTCTTTCAAAGGAGTTTTTTATGCTGTCGCATTGACTGTAAGAGAAAATCAACATTACTGATTTGCCATCAAAATTTTCCAAGGCCCTACACGCCAAGCTAATTACTTTGAAGTGTAGCTAGTGCTGCCATATAAAGAAGTGCAGTAGTCCATTTTCACACAAGGACCTACAGAATGCAATAAAAGATATACCTACTTCTGGTAATATTTGAGTAGAAAAGTGTTGGCTAGGACATCTGAAGGTAGAGAGGTGGCCTTGGAATGCAAGTTTTTTTTCTTTAGGTAACATGTTGAGATTCAACCATAAGAGCACTTAAGCAATGGATTGTGCTAACTTTGCCTTAATGCAGAATTAGGTTAATTGGCAAATAGATTTCTTGAGGCTCAAAATAGATAATCTATTAATGGGTTTTGCTAATTATCACAAATTAGGCTGATTGGAAAATGAAATTTCTCCACTATTGACTGCTAAGGTAGATATGAAAAATACCTTGACTATTGTATCCAATTATAGTCAAACAGACATTAGGAAGTATTTAAGTGCTGAAGACAGTCCAAGAGGAGACTGGTATTGGGAAGAATGGGGTTGGTATATCAAATTGTGAAAAATATGAGGAATTTGGTCTCTTAGAGTCAGAGCCATGCAGCACAATAGGTCTTTTTCAGGTATGCAATATGGTAAAATTGTCACAGTAACGTTAATGTAATTTTATGTCAAAATGAGTCATCTGGAACTGAATTTTTATAAACAGTGACTGACTGACTGACTGTTTGCTAGTACTTAGACTTTCCACACTCTTCTGATATGAACTTTAGACAATGAGTAGACTCAAACTATGATTCACACTGAGAGCAATGCAATGTAATTGGAACAAAAACAGTGCTGGAAAAGTTCAGCAGGTCTGGCTGTATCGGTAGAGGGAAAAAGAGATTAACATTTTGAGTCCAGTGACAATTTGTCATAACTTTGTGGAGCATAATCAGTGTGTTTATTTAGTTGGATGTCTGCAATTTTTGCAAGAAATGTATTTCAGGGAAATATTTTGGTTTGGGAGTTAAAGCTAAATTCGTTTACAAGTGTCCAGTGAACCCCATAGGTAGTGCAACCCATTTACATTATTAGGTCGAAGAAGAAATTGAGAGAAAATTAACAATGTGTCCAATTGAGAGCAGCCCAGAGTTGGTTATATTATCATGGAGATGATCTTTAAAGATTATCTAGTTTCAGATTGTCTGGAAATTTGCTGAAAGAATTAATTGCAGTTTGGACTGCATGCGGCTTACAGCTCACTGAGAGAATGTAGCAAAATTATTGTTAGATGCATCTGCACCATAAGCAGAGTTTATACTAAAAGAAAACATCATAATTGATCGTGCAATGCAGGTAATGTTTAATCTCAGTTTGAATTATACAGGGAAGCAACAGCTTGAAGATTGCCTAGGTTGAAACTAATGGGAGAGTCTACAGTGGTGTTCCACAGGCTTGAACCAAAGAAAACAACATGAAGATTAACTTGGAAGTGCTGAAAAAGTAACCAGCTTAAGTTCGCGGTCAACTAGCTGGAGTCGGGCGTTCTTCAGTGAACTATGGCAGAAGTAAAAATTACTTGGAAGATTGATGTATCTTAGACCATTCTTGTGGGGTGGTGGGTGAGGAAGGAAGAGTAACCCTGAGTTGATAACACATGTAGTTATAAGGCTATGATGTTAACTTACTCAATTTGTTCATCATACAGTAAAACTTGTTTGTTGTGTCTTTAAAATAAATCGCCTGTGGTATAATTCCATTGGTTAGAATGAGGAGGTGTTCAAACATTTTTTTAATGTTCCCCAAATGGGTTGTAACAAACTTCACTCACATCTTAGTGAATGAAATATCTGTACTTTATCCACCTGAATTGTAAACTGTAGCATTTTGTGATTCTTTTTTGAATATAAATATTAGTGGCAAGCTCTGTATTACTCATCCCTGATTGCCGTTGAATTGAGTGGCTTGCTGGGCCATTTCAAAGGACAGTTGGAAATCAGCATTGCTGAGAGTCTGATGTTGCCTGGTCTGGCCTTCATGCAATAATGGCAGATTTTCTATCCAAAAGGACATTTTTGAAGACCCTTTAGTTCACTGTACTTTGTTTTCTGATCACCGATACTGAGACTAGTTTTACATTCCATTAATTGAATTCAGATTCCACTAGCTGTCATAATGTTATTAGAACTCACATCACCAGAGCATTAAAATAGAATCAGAACTACTAGCACAGATACTAGACATCTGAAACAAACAAAAACAGAAATTACTGGAGAAACGCACTAGATCTGGCAGCATTTGTGGAGATAAGAGTGTAAATGTTTAGAGTCCAGTGACCCTTCCCTGCTTTCTCTCAATTTTAGTACACGGGATTGGATTTATACTGTGAATTGCAAGATGATGTCTGCCTATCATGTCACTGTTGAAGGTTTCCTGCAAATGTCAAATTGTGTGAATCTCAAAATTCAAACATAGTTACTAAAGTGTGATCTTAGCTATATTGTTTTATTATCAGAAAAACCCAGAGTTAACACTCAGCAAAGATATGCTGGTCAACAGTGTGAAATGCTAAATGTCTCGAAACAAGATGGGTACGATAACTTGGAACTGTGTGAATCTGCCTTAATCTTAATACTTGGAAAGAAAAGTTTTTCAGCAGACAGTTGGTTTCAAGCTTTAAGTTTTCATTTTCTTTCCTCTCCTTCAGGTGAAACAATGAAGTAGCAATACTGTTTTAAGACAAAGAAATGCAGAGCTGACATTAAGTGACACCAGCAAATCAATCTTACTGTATGTAAGTAGCAAAAGTGCATTCTAAGCATTTGTGCGTAACCACTTCATGAATTTGTGAAACTTCTTCTATTTTCAAGTCTGCATAGATTGGTGTTTTTGCTATTTCAAAGATATTTAGCCTAATATGTTTTGGATACTGATTCTGTTGACCTGTGTTGCTGGAAGAAATAAACTCATGTGGATTTGCCAGCTTGGTTCCTCGTATTAAAATAGATTTTCCTTTTTTTTTTTCACTACCATATTTCATTTGACCCACTGTTGCTCACCTTGGAGTTTAGATCAACTTTGCAAATGTTGATGGATCTGTTGCATGGTAAAATTGACTTTGACATTTCATTGTAAAGGATGTTTTCTAATCCCTAAAATGTTGGAAGTGAGTATCTTTATTATAACAGTACTACTTTAACCGTTCATCCTTATGGTTCCGTTCTTCCATTGCCGTTTCTCATCCCGTTGAATGCACTCATGCCATTCTATTTCTCATTGCATTTTGCTCATGCCATCTATCTCCGCTTTGTATTTTATAAATCCAGTGCTACCCTCACACCTCCCAAATCTCTCCAGTCAATATAGCTACATTGCATGCTCTAATTTGACCAGAACAATACATGGCTGATATGTTTCAAAGTAAGAGATTTATTAGAATCGTAGAAAGTAGCTAACAAGGCACTCATTTGGCCCATCACTCCCATGCTGATACTTTGAAAGAGCTATATATTAGCCCTACTTCCTTGCTTTGTATAGCACTGTTTGTTTCTCCATTGAGGATTTATCTAGTTCCTGTTTGAAAGTTACAATTGAATCCGTTTCCATCATATTTTCAGACACTAAATTCTAAGTCATTGTACCTCTCTGCACAACCTTTTTTCCTTGTATAGTCTCTGGTTGTTTTGCCAATTGCTTAAAATTGTCCACTGGTTATCAATGCTTATGCCTTTGGAGACCATTTCTTCTTATTTACCCTACAAAATTCTTAAGTTCACTAGTCTCTGTATAATTGAAGACCTTCATCCCTAGTAACCGATGTATTATGAAGACTTGGGATAATATAGTATAGGGGCTTGTACGACATGGTCTACAATGAGAAATCTGAGAGAATCCCATGTGTAGTCCAGTGATGCCCCTCATAATGTCAGGAGCAAACAGCTACATTTTTGAACTATGTTCCAGGTGCCATGGTGAGCTTTTTAAATGCCTGTTAACATGGATTATTGCTAAACAGCCCCATTAACATCAAATCTTGCTTTATTAATACATAGCATCATATCCTACTGACTCAGAGTCATACAGCACAGAAACAGACCCTTTGGTCCAACTTGTCCATGCCGACTAAGTTTCCCAAATTGGAATTAGTCCCATTTGCCTGCATTTGGCCCATATCTCTCTAAACCTTTCCTGTTCATACATCTGTCCAAATGACTTTTAAATATTGTAACTGTACCTGCATGTGCCACTTCCTCTGGTGGTTCATTCTACGTACAAACCACTTTCTGTGTGAAAAAGTTGCCCCTCAGGACCGTTTTAAATCTTTCTCCTCTCACCTTAAAAAATGCCCACTAGTTTTCAACTCCTCCAACCTGGGAAAAGACCTTTGCAATCCACCTTATCTATGCCCGTCATGACTTTGTAAACCTCTATAAGGTTATCCCTCAACCTCCTATGCTCCAGTAAAAAAAGTCTCGGCCTATCCTTTATAACTCAAACCCTTCAGTCCCAGAACATCCTGCTAAATGTTTTCTGAACTCTCTCCAATTTAGTAATATCCTTTCCATAGAGGGGTGACCAGAACTGTACACCGTACTCCAAAAGTACACCAGTCTCCTGTACAACTTCAACATGATGTCCTAACTCCTATATCCAGCAGTCTGAGCAATGAAGGCACCTATGCTAAATGCTGCCTTAACCACCCTGTGTACCTATGATGCAATTTCCAAAGAACTATGTACCTGAACCCCTAGGTCTCTCTGTTCAGCAACACTACCCAGGGCTGTACCATTAACTGTATAAGTCCTGTCCTTGTTTGTTTTCGCCAAAATGCAATACCTTGCATTTATCCAAATTAAACTCCATCTGTCATCTTTCAACGCATTGGCCCAATTAATCAAGATCTCTTTGTAATCTTGGATAACCTTCTTCATTGTTGACTATACCCCAATTTTGATGTCATCCTCAAATGTACTAACCACGCCTCCTAAATTGTTCAAATCGTTCATATAAATGAGAAACAAAAGCAGACCCTGCACCAGTCCCTGGGGTGCACCACTGGTCACAGGTCTGTAGTCTGAAAAACAACCCTCCATCACCACCCTTTGTCTGCTGGAAGGAAACAAGATGTCGACAATTCCTGACATAAAAGCCAGAGTGGGTACCTGTTAATTTTGAGCATGATGTTTGCTCCTTGGTATTGCCATCTTGGGCAGACATGTCAGGGGACACTACAGCTGCATGCATCCCCTCATCCACTGATGCAGGAATCCAAAACCTGTCAAACCTCTCTGAATCCTTGTGGCACCTCTCTGACCTACTTGCAGAATGCCTCTGTACTTTAAAATTGAACTTGGGGTGTACCAGCAACTAACATTGATATCGTAGGTCTTAATACTATTGTGGGTTTACGTACAAAGCAGGCACTGCCATGGTTTAAGAAATCGGCTCACCACCACTTTCTCAAGGGCATCTAGGGATGGGCAATAAATGTTGACCGAATGCCACCCGTGTCCCATGAGTGAATAAAAAGAAAAGCTGCTGTAAAGATATGCACCCAGCTCGCAGACTGGAACAGCCTCCGTTACAGGGCTGCTCAGAGAAACAGAAAGGTAAACAGTAAAGGTGCAGCTGTAATTATGGGTGCCTTTAATTTGCATGTAGATTGGGAAAGCCAAATCTGTAACAATACTATAGAGGAGGAATTCCAGGATTCTGATTGGAATGGTTTTCTGGACCAATATGTTGACGAACCAACTAGAAAACAGGCCATTTTAGACTGAGGATTGTTTAAAGAGAAAGGAATAATTGGCAATCTAGCTTTGAGAGACCACTCTGGGATGTGTGACCATAATATGATAGAATTCTTCATTAACATCGAAAATTATATTGTTGATTCTAAGACTAGGGCCCTGAATCTAAATAAAGGTAACTACGATGGTATGATTAGAGGGATTATGATGGATAGGCAATGGCAAACATTTAAAGATCACATGGAGGAACCGCAGCAGTTATTCATTCCTATCTGGCACAAAATCAAAATGCAAAAGGTAACCCAACTATGGGTAACAAAGGAAATTGGGAATGGTATTAGATCTAAGGAAAGGGCATACAAATTAGCCCAAAAATGTAGCAGACTTGAGGATTAAGAGCAGTTTAAAGTTCAGTAAAGGAGGATAAAGAGATGGATTTGAAAAGGGAACATAGAAACATTTAATCAATTTTTATAGGTATGTGAAGAAAACAAATATTGAAGATAAGTGTGGGTCCTTTACCGTGAAAATCAGGGGAATTTATAATGGGGAGCAAACAAATAGCTGACCAACTAAATACATAAGTTCTGTTGTCACAAAGGAGGACATATATAGTATGGCAGAAATGTTTTGGGAACACGGGGTTTAGAGAAGGGGAGAAACTGAAGAAAATCAGTATTAGTAGGGAAATGGTATTGGGGAAGTGGAAATTGAGATTGAAGGCAGATGTATCCCCAAGGCCAGATAATCTACTTCCCACAGTACCTAATGAAGTGGCCGTTGAAAAAACAAAGGCAGGATCAGATAGAATCAGCATGGATTTACAAAAGAGAAATCGTACTTCATGAACCTACTGGAATCCTTCAAGGATGTGACTCCGATTTGGTGAGAGAAAGTCAGTGGATGTGATTTATTTGGACTGTCAGAAGGCTATTGATAAAGTCACACATAGATTAGCGTGTAGCACGTGGGATTTGAGGTAGTGTATTGAGATAGGTTAAAAAAAACTGGTTGGCAGACAGGAAACAGAGGAGGAATAAATGGATCTTTTTCCGAATGGCAGGTAGTGACTAGTGGGGTCCCACAGGGTACAGTCCTAGAACACCATCTATTCACAATGTATACTAATGATTTGAATAAGGGAACTAAATGTAATACCTCCCAATTTGCTGATGGAACGAAGTGGATGGGAGGATGAGATGTGAGGAGCATGTAGAGATGCTTCAGTATGATTTGGGCAAGCTAAGTGAATGGGCAAATGCATCACAGATGCACTAAGGTGGATAAATGTGAAGTTATCTACTTTGAGAGCTAAAATAGGAAGACGGATTATCTGGCTACAAATTTGGAGAAGGGATGTGCCACAAGGTGCAGGTATCCTTGTACACCACTCACTGAAGGTAAACATGCATGCGCAGCAGGCAGTTCAGAAAGCAAATGGTCGCTTTCTTAGTGAGATATTTGGACTACAGGAGCAAGGATGTCTTGCTGCAATTATACAGGACCTTGGTGAGACCATACCTGGAATATTTTGTGCAATTTTGGTCTCCTTCTCTGAAGAAGGGTGTGCTTGCTATAGCAGAAGTGCAGCAAAGGTTTACTGGATTGATTCCTGGCAGACTGATGTACAAGGAGAGATTCAATTGGCTAGGATTACATTCACTGGAGTTCAGAAGAATGAGAAGGGATCTCATAGAAACCTGTCAAATTTGAACAGAACTAGACAGAATAAATGCAGGAAGCACATCGTTACAGAGAGTCCAGGGCTAAGGGTCATAGTCTAGTGACTATGCCCACTATTGCTCATAGTGTCTGAGGATGTATAGGTTAAGTGGATTAGGATTGAGACAGGTGGAAATTTCTTCAACTAGAGAGTGATGAACCTGTGGAATTCACTACCACAGAAATCAGTCATGACAGATGGAACATGCCTGATAAACTTCTGAATTTTTTTGAAGCGGTGACTGAGGTGGTGAACTATGGAATTCTATGGATGTTGTTTATATGGACTTCCAGAAGGCATTTGATGAGGTCCCACCTAAGACATTTCTAACTAAGTTTAGAACCCCACAGAATGGATGGCAAATTACTGATATAGCTGGGAGTTGGTTCAGTGGCAGGTAGGGGATACTCAAATTGGCAGGATATGAATAGTGGTGCCCCACAAGAATCTGTGTTTGGACATCAGTTGTTCACATTATTGATGAACAACTTGGGTAATGCGTAGAAAATCACATATTCGATTTTGCTGATAATACGATGTTGGTGACATAAGTTTATGTTATCTTCGACAATGTCTACAAAGTGATAGACTAGTTAAATGAACAAAACTGTGGTAGATGGTGTTCAATGTAAGCAAGTGTGAGGTTATTTATTTTGCCCCACAAAAGGTTAGATCAGGGTACTCCCTTGATTGTATGAAGTTAAATGTAGTGATGTCCAAAGAGTCTTGGCACTCAGGTGCATAGATCTAAATTGCCACAAACAGATGCAGAAAGTAATCAAGGCAGCTAACGGAATGCTGGCCTTTATGTTTAGAACACTGAAGTATAAGGACGTAGAAGTTATGTTGCAGCTATACAAAATCCTAGTTAGACCCCACTTCGAATGGTGCCCACGTCAGATCACAATACATCTTAGGAAGAATGTATTGGTCTTGGTGGGAGTATCATGTAGATTCACAAAAATGAGACCTGGGCTTCACGGATTAGGTTATGAAGAGAGATTATATAAATTAGGCCTATTTTCTCTCAAATTTTAGAAGGTTAAGAGGTGATTGAATTGAAGTCTTCAAAATAATAACAGGAGAACACAGGGTGGATAAAGATAACCTATTTCCACTTGTTGGAAATTCTAGAACTAGGAGGCAAAGTCTAAGAATTAGGGCCAGACTTCTCAGGAGATATGTTAGGAAGCAATTCTAGACAGAAAGGGTGGTAGAGATTTGGAGCTTTCTTCCACAAATGGCAAGTGATACTCGATCAGTTGTTAATTATTAATCTGAGATGACATTTTTGTTAGGCAAAGATATCAAGTGGTATAGGCCAAAGGCAGGTAGTTAAGCCCCAGATCAGTTGTGATCTCATTAAATAGCAGAACAGGCTCGAGGGGTTGAATGACCTATTCTTGTTCCTGTACACTTTACGTTTTCTGCACCATTTTATTTTACTGAGGATCCACCTGATAAATCGTTTCCAAACAATTTATTTTTAATGAAATCTCATAATTAAGAAAGATCGTAGAATTTAATACATTGTGCATGGAATGGGAATAATATGCTCATGGGCTGTAAGTTTGAAATGACAGACATAGATATCTGACCGCAATCATTTTTTTCCTTGGAAGAAGTGTATACTTTAAGGTGACCTGATTAAGGTTTTGAAATTAAGATGGGAATTATCACTACTGATACCAGTAATTTGTTCTCATTAATAGATCTTGAAGTTGGGGTACTGTCAGAGATTAAAATGCAAAAGGTCTGGAAGAGGAATCAAAACCATCTTGACCTAACCCATTAACCTCCAGTTTTAACAAGGACAGGAGGGAGGGAGTGTTATGACCAATTCACTTGTCAGAAGCAAGTTGGCCATTTAAATGTCATATTGAGACTATGTACCTTAATTTCAGCCGCAGAAATCTGGGCTTGAGAAAACTGCGCAGTAAACGAGACTAGAGGGATTAAATCTGAAACGAGGCCGAATACTCCTTGAGAAGCAGGAGTGCTTCCTCCAACTTAAGAAACAAGTAAATTAAATCATCCCACCATTCCAAATTGCCATCAGAAATCTGAACACTGGTGCATCTTTTAGCAATAATCTCTCTCCCTCCCCCAATACTGTAATAGACTTTGGACTTGTGAACTAAGCTCTTGACCAAAAGACCCCTTGTCTGACGATCAAGATTCCTGCAGTCATATGTTCCTCAGGGTTTTACAATCTTAGCAGAGCCTCTAAGTAGAATTCCCCTCCAGGTTAAAATCTAGGTTTAAGAATAGGAGAAATAAGAAAAAGCAAAGGAAGGAAGTCCCTGTTGGGAGTAATCAGTAGGTCTCTGCAAAGTAGTTCCACAGTGGGTTACAATATAAACCAGAAAATATTGGAAGCTTTTAAGAAAGGTATGGCAATTATCGTGGGTGATTTTAAAATACAAATAAACTGGATTAAAAAACATTGGCCAGGGTAGCCTTGAAGGAAAGTTCATGGAATTTGTTAGAGATTGTTTTTTGGAGTAATATGTTGTTGGACCAACCAGAGCAGGGTATTCTGCATTTAATAATGTGTATTGAGGTGGGATTAACTAATCTCATTGTAAAGGATCCTCTAAGGGAGAGTGAGCACAGCATACTAGAGATTTGAGGGTGAGAAACTGGATTCCTACACTAACATTCTGGGGTTTAAACAGGCAATTATATAGACATGAGGACAGATTTGGTCCTAGCAGACTGCGCAGGAAGACTAAAAGGTATGGGATTTGATGAGCAGTGGCAGATGTTTTAGGATATATTTAATTTCTCCCAATTAAAACATATCCTGGAGAGGAAGAAAGATTGTAAGAGGGGAAAAAACATCCATGGCTAAACAAGAAAGTTAAAGATAACATAAAGGCAAAAACTAAGTGTTATTATATTGCAAAGGCCAGTAGCAGGATGGAAAATTGGAAAACTTTTAAAGATCAACAGGGTTACTAAAAAGATCAAAGGTAAATTATGAAAGCAAACTGGTGCAAGACAATGGACAGCAGAAGCATGGAAATGGCAGACACACTAAATCAATTTTTGCAGAGATAGTAGGAACTACAGGTGCTGGAGAATCTGAGATAACAAGGTGTAGAGCTGGACGAACGCAGCAGGCCAAGCAGCATCAGAGGAGCAGGAAGGCTGACGTTTCGGGCCTAGACCTGTCTGTCTCCTCTCCACCTATCTTCTCCTCTATCCATCTTCTATCCGCCTCCCCCTCTCTCCCTATTTATTTTAGAATCCCCTTCCCCTCCCCCATTTCTGAAGAAAGCTCTAGGCCCGAAACGTCAGCTTTCCTGCTCCTCTGATTGTTCAGCAAATGCTGTCCAATTACAGAATCGCATATCAATTTTATTTTAGTTTAGTTAATGTGGAGTACAGTCTGTATCTGTCCACTGGGAACAACCAAAAAAGCATGCTGTTTGATTCATTAGCCTAGTATGTACAGCTTATATACCAGGCTTCGCACTGCCACTGATTCAAATGGCAAGCTGCCCGATTTGTATGGGAAGCAGACATCTTTTTTGGATTGATGGAAGCCTTGTGATAACAGAAAATGATGCTCAAGTAGCCTTTATCAGTAATCTGGCCAAAGTTATTTGCATACCTTGCAAGCTTGCCACGGCAATAGAGTGCATTAAAGCTATTCTGTAAAACAATGGCAATCCTAATTAAGTCACCATTTGCCCAGGAATGCCCAAGCATACAGCTGGGCTAAGGGCTGCAACTTCTGGACATGAAAATTAGCTGGTCTATGCCGAAATTGCCTTAGTAAGGTCATGCATCTCAAATGTGAACAACAGGTAAAACAAGCTGTCTTAAGTTCTGTGTAGTGGTTATTTAGGCCAATTAATCAAAGTCTCTATTGTCCTGTTGTATAAGTTGTTGTGATCTTTTGAAATTTGTTCTTGTGTTTTATCCTGATAAGTACAACATGAAAAACTTTGGTAACATGTCTTTTTCAACAATATTCAGGAGTGATTTCAACTGGAAGTGAGTGCATAATATGAATGTTTTCAGATTTCCTGGCTACGTTATCCTAGAACATTTCTAAAGATGCTTTTAAGATTATTATTTCTATGCACGTGAAGCATGACAACAAATGGACAAACGTCCTGTTAGAATGACACAGCATCACTGCATTTAAAACCTTTGCACATTTTGCAGAATAATATTTTAAGTTTGGGGATCTGATATGTCCGATCCTGTATAGAATGCAGTTTTGAAGGAGGCCATAATATCCAAAACATTGACATCCAAAACAAGCTTGTGTTGAGCTTCACTAGAACACTGCAGCAAGCCTGAGACAGACATGTTGGTTAGGGAACAGGGTGGTGCGTTAAAGCTAGAAGAACAACATCTCATTTTCCGCTTGAGAACCCTACAGCCCTCCGGACTCCATATCGAGTTCAATAATTTTAGGGCCTAAACTTTCCCATGTCCTAGCCCCCTACACCACACACCAGGCCTTGTTACCACATAGCCTGCCATTACACACCACCTGTTATTCATCACTAATAGTCCCCATTAACAACTATTCACCCTCCCAGCCTGATCGTTATCAACTCTGTCTGTCCAACTGCTGTTCTCTCTTTTTAGGCTCTATCCTATCATTTACTCCCTACCCCATCCCCCTCCCCTTTTTTTTCTGCCAACGTTTTCCTAGCCACCACCAGTTCTGAGGAAGGGTCGCCAGACCCGAAACGGTAACTCTGTTTTTTCCTTCACAGATGCTGCCAGACCTGCTGAGCTTTACCAGCAACTTTATTTTTGTTCCTGATTTACAGCATTCACAGTTCTTTCGGTTTTTATATCGGTCTGTATCATGTCTAACTTAAAATACTTGGTTTGATTATGGTCTTTTAGTTTCTGACCTTGTTCTATGGCTTCTAGTTTTTTCTTCTGTAGATTGTACTTTATTTTTATTTCCGCTCTGTTTGTAATTCCTTCAATTAAATTTAATCATTTTCTTTTCTAGGTCCCTTTTTGGAAACATACTACTAGCAAGCTGCCATTAGATGTTAGGAAGTGGCCTGTATTGTCTAAATTGACATTTCGCTTTTTGCTTGAATTTGGGAATTTGCTATGTGCATGCGAAAGTGCAACTGCTTCTTAGACTTCTGTGCCACCATTCATGGGTAGGCTGCTCCATTTTTCAAGTATGTGTTAGCTTAGATGTAGTGACTTGCATTGCAAACTATTAATGCATTTTCTGTTCACTGGAGCACGTTCTTGTGTTCATGTGCAAGTTGCCAGCAGCATTTGAATGATCAGCATAGAATGTATAATAGTGGTACTTAAAAGAACATGCACTGGATTTAAATTTTGGTGATCTATTACAGATCTATCTCACGATTACTATCAAGACATAATAATCTTGGTATTGAACTGTGTTAAAATAGTCATTGTAATATTGATGGATTTAGTAGTATTTGTCTTTAAGTGTGACAGAAATCATCTCCTCCTCCTTAGCTCCATCTGATAGCTCCTACCAAACAGGAATCCTGGAAAATTTCTCAAAGTTTCTTCTGTGTAGTGCATCATCTTTTGAGAAGAATGAAAGCAACAAGACCGCAGTTCTACTGGGCTGCTTTTACTTTCTTTCCCATTGTCCCTCTTCACTTCCCACTAATAATGTATTGTTGTTTCTTGGGGAAATGCAAACTGTTGATTCAATCATCCCTGCCATTGATCAAGAGACAATCAGATGAGATTGCACCCCATCTGGTTTCCTGTTTCTGCCCTAGTCAGTCAGATGTTTATTTTTGGATGAATTGAAAATCTAAACTGAAATTGATGCTTACACTTTCCTCTTCGGATAAGGACCAACACAGACACTTTTGTAGTTGAATACCAATCTGGGTAACTTTCTTTTGGCAATTTTGACTCTAATTTTGTTAATTATAATGCATTGCTGACACCAGCTCACCCGTTAAAGTTGTAGTTTTGAAGAATCAATGAATATAAATGCAAAACCTGGAAAGATTTCCGACTCTCAACTAGCAGTTGCAGATTGATAATAATTATCAAAAGAACCATGGACACCAGATTTTATTTAGCAGATTTGTTGTCTGGAATGTACTGAAAAGGATGATGCAAGCAATTTACTAGTAACTTTCAAATGAGGAAATTAGATTTATCACTTGAAAGGGAAGATTTGCAGTGCTATGGGAAGGTCAGAGAAATGGGTTTCATTTGATAACTGACATAGAACTAGCATGGGACGGTGAGCTGAGTGACTTTTTTTTCTGCGCTATTTGTTTTGTAAATCTGGCATACCCGCACAAATTCAAGACTTCTGTTGGAACATAAGAACTAGGAGCAGGAATAGGCCATCTGGCCCCTCGAGCCTGCTCTGCCATTTCTGATCTTTGAGACTCCGCTCCACTTACCTGCCCACTCACCATAACCCTTAATTCCTTTACATTTCAAAAATTTATCTAGCCTTGCCTTAAAAACATTCAGTGAGGTAGCTTCAACCGCTTCACTGGGCAGGGAATTCCACAGATTCACAACCCTTTGGGTGAAGAAGTTCCTCCTGACCTCAGTCCTACATCTGCTTCCTTTTATTTTGAGGCTATGCCGTCTAGTCCCAGTTTCACTTGCTAGCGGAAACAACCTCCCTGCCTCCACTTTATCTATTCCCTTCATAATCTTATATGTTTCTATAAGATCTCCCCTCATTCTTCTGAATTCCAATGAGTATAATCCCAGTCTACTCAGTCTGTCCTCATAATCCAACCCTCTCAACTCTGGAATCAACCGACTGAATCTCCTCTGCACTCCCTCCAATGCTAGTATATCCCTTCTCAAGTAAGGAGACCAAAACTGCACACAGTACTCCAGGTGTGGCCTCACCAGGACTCTATACAGCTGCAGCATAGCCTCGTTATTTTTAAACTCCATCCCTCGAGCAATGGCAAACAAAATTCCATTTGCCTTTTTAATCACCTGCTGCACCTGCAGTCCCACTTTCAGCGATTCATGCACAAGGACACCCGAGTTCCTGTGCACAGCAGCGTGCTGCAATTTTTTACTGTTTAAAACATAGTCCATTTTGCTGTTATTCCTACCAAAATGGATGACCTCACACTTATCAACATTGTACTCCAACTGCCAGACCTTTGCCCACTTACTTAGACTATCTATATCCCTCTGCAGACTTTCAGTGTCTTCTGCACACTTTGCTCTACCAATCACCTTAGTGTCATCTGCAAATTTTGACACACCACACTTAGTCCCCAACTCCAAATCATCTACGTAAATTGTAAACAATTGAGGTCCCAACACTGATCCCTGAGGCACACCACTAGCCACTGACCGCCAACCAGAAAAACACCCATTTACCCCTACTCTTTGCTTTCTACTAGTCAACCAATCCTCTATCCATGCCAATACATTAATACTGTAATACCGTGCAACTTTATCTTGTGTAGCAGCCTTTGGTGTGGCACCTTGTCAAATGCCTTCTGGAAATCCAGATACACTACATCCACAGGTTTCGCATTGTCCACCATGCAAGTAATGTCCTCAAAGAATTCCACCAAATTAGTTAAACATGACCTACCCTTCGTGAACCCATGCTGGGTGTTCCCAATGGGACAATTTATATCCAGATGTCTTGCTATTTCTTCATTAATGATAGATTCAAGCATTTTCCCCACTACCGAAGTTAAGCTAACTGGCCTATAGTTACCTGCTTTCTGTCTACTTCCTTTTTTAAACAGTGGCATCACATTGGCTGTTTTCCAATCTGCGGGAACCACCCAGAGTCCAGTGAATTTTGGTAAATAATTACCAGTGCATTTGCTATTTCCCCCATCACCTCTTTTAGTACCCTGGGATGCATTTCATCAGGGCCAGGAGACTTGTCTACCTTTAGCCCCATTAGCTTGCCCAGCACTGCCTCCTTAGTGATAATGATAGTTTCTAGGTCCTCACCTGCTATAACCTTGTTGCCATTAGTTTTCGGCATGTTATTTGTGTCTTCCACTGTGAAGACCGACACGAAATAACTGTTTAATGTCTCGGCTATTTCCTCATTCCCAGTTATTAAATTGGCCTTCTCATCCTCTAAAGGACCAATGTTTACCTTCGCCACTCTTTTACGATTTGCATATTTATAGAAACTTTTGCTGCCTGTTTTTATATTCTGAGCTAGTTTACTCTCATAATCTATCTTACTTTTCTTTAACCTTTTTTGTGGCTTTCTGTTGGCCTATAAAGATTTCCCAGTTACTAGTTTCCCACTACTCTTTGCTTTTTTGTATGTGTTTTTTTTTTCAATCTGATACTTTCCTTTATTTCCTTAGACATCCATGGCTGGCTCTCTCTTTTCCTACAGTTCTTCTTTATCACTGGAATATACTTCTGCTGAGCACTGTGAAAAATTGTTTTGAAAGTCCTCCACTGTTCCTCAATTGACCCACCATAAAGTTTTTGCTCCCATTCTACTTTAGCTAACTCCTTCCTCATTCCTCCATAGTCTCCTTTGTTTAAGCACAGGACATAGGTACTGGATTTAACCTTCTCACGCTCCATCTGTATTTTAAATTCGACCATACTGTGATCGCTCCTTCCTAGAGGATCCCTAACTGAGAGATCATTAATTATTCCTGTCTCATTACACAGGACTAGATCTAGGATAGCTTGCTCCTTCGTAGGTTCCATTTACATATTGTACAAGGAAATTATCGTGGATGCATTCTATGAACCCCTCCTCAAGGCTGCCATGACCGACCTGGTTTGACCCATTGATATGTAGATTAAAATCCCCCATGATAATTGTTGTACCATTTTTACATGTGTTAGCTATTTCTGTGTTTATTGCCTGCCCCACCACGATGTTGTTACTTGGTGGCCTATAGACCACACCTATCAGTGACTTCTTCTCCCTGCTATTCCTAATTTCTACCCAAATGGATTCAATGTTTTGTTCAGTAGAACCTATATCATCTCTCACTAGTGCCCTGATATCATCCTTAAAAATCAGAGCAACACCACCTCCCTTACCTTCCTGTCTGTCCTTCCGAACAGTTTGATACCCCTGGATATTTAACTCCCAGTCATGACCATCCTGTAACCATGTCTCTGTAATGGCCACTAAATCATACCCATTTGCCATGATTTGCACCGTCAACTCATCCACCTTGTTTCGAATGCTCTGAGCATTCAGATAAAGTGCCCTTATGCCAGGTTTTGCACCTTCTTTTTGGGTCCTATTACCTCCATTACTAACAACTCTTGAGTTCTCCTTCCCTTTAACTTTTTTCCTGATTTTCCATGGAGTTGAAGCTTCCTCATCACCTGCTAACCTGCTGCTTTGCCTTACATTAATTGTTATTCTCCCTATACGCTCACTTCTCCCTTCCCCCCCCTAATTACTAGTTTAAAGTCCTATTAACCACCCTATTTACTCTTTTCGCCAGAACACTGGACCCGGCCCTGTTCAGGTGGAGTCCATCCCAACGGTATAGATCCCTCCTGTCCCAGAACTGATGCCAGTGCCCCATGAAAAGGAAACCCTCTTTCCCACACCACACTTTTAGCCACATGTTTACTTCCCTGATCCTCGCCTCCCTATGCCAATTTGCACGTGGCTCGGGCAGCAATCCAGAGATTATGACCCTTGAAGACCTGTTCTTTAATTTTGTTCCTAGCTTTTCATAATACCGAAACAGGTCTTTTTTCCTTGTCCTGCCTCTGTAGTTGGTACCTACATGGACCACAACAACTGGATCCTTCCCCTCCCTCTCTAGTATCCTTTACAGCTGGTCAGAGATGTCTCGCACCCTGGCACTGGGCAGGCAACACACCATGCGGGATTCTCTATCCTGCTAGCAAAGGATGCTGTCTATCCCCCTGATAATGGAATCCCCTACAACTACAATCTGTCTTTTTGCTTCCCCCTATTGAATGACCTCCTGGACCATGGTGCCATGGTCAGTTGACTCATCCTTCCTGCAGCCCTGTTCCTCATCCACACAGGGAGCAAGTGCCTCATACCTGTGGGATAATGTCAAGGGCTGCAAGGAGATTAGTGTTTTTCAAGGAAATTTTCATTTAGGGCAGTGAGTCTTCAGCAACATTCCAATTATAATGGATATTATCTCCTGAATCCAGACAATACTGGAAGTCCGCTTGTTGCAGACTTCATGAGTTGCTGGGCTGCTAAATATGCAGAATTGCCAAGCATCAGTCCTGAGTTTTCCAGAAATGACCCATTGGTTCTGTGAAGAATGTCACAAAAGTTTTCTTTGTTCCACACTATTACAATTTTGGTGTTCAAGAATCTATAAGGTAAATGTCCCAAGAATGTAACACTTTACTCTGAACTGTCTGCCTTCATTTCAGAATTCCAAACTCCCTAAAAAAAAAAAACTTTTGCCTGGTTATTCACATAACAACGCAAACTTGCAATTTGAACTTGAAGACTAACGAAAGAATAAAAACATTTCTCATGAAAAATGTCAACAAAGGAACAAAGCCCTCGACACAACGTTAAAGCCAGGTCAATGCAGCGAGCTTCAACGTTTGATATGTCTTCAGATATGTTAAGTTTATCTCTTACAGGTGAGATGTTTTTACTACACACTTGTGTTAAAATCTATTACTTAGAAACACGTTTTTGAGCATGATTTTTTGAAGTAACAGATGAGTTTTGGAAAAAAAGTATTTTGTTGGAATATTTAAGGAAATCTGTAAATTATCAGTCTATAGGTTGGCTGGCCACAAGCTAACCTTTTGAAGATCTTCTGATTTCAGTGAGACTTTACTATGATACTTGATATAGGAAGTACACTTAAGCTCTTACAAGCTTGAATATCTTGGATTTTCGAATTAGCAGAAAATTTTTTTTAGTTAATCTGGTCTTTTAATGCCTACTTTTGGGATACTTGAAACAGGTTTCCTTCATCTTCCAATAAGAAATCTAGTTTTAATGCAGAGCTTCCTCAAATTAACTAACCAGTTAAGACAAATCACTTATAAACGCTTATTAATTTTATAGATGCCGAATGGGGAGGTTTTCTGAACTGCAAAAGAATAGATAAATGTTAAAATACTAAATGTATTGTTAGTTGCTGCAGTTTTCTTTGTGAGGCATTTGTTGCAACTAAGACAGTACAGCAGGAACAATTTTTGCATATCAGGAATGCAGTGCATGGAAAATAAAAGCCCTGCAGTCGTCAGAGGTTAGTTTAATTAATAAGTGATTCAAGTATTTGAATGTTATTAAAGATTTTTGGTTCTTGCTGAATATACACTTTGCACCCAGTAACTTGTTGCACACTGAAATGCCAGATGCATAAGATTTGTTTTATGGCTTTTGTTTGCTGGTCAATTTAGCATTTATATGAAATAACAATTATTATTAACACCATCATATAGTCTTACTCTTGACATCTTCAAACATTTTTTTAGTTCACTAATGGGATGTTAGGTGAGCATTTATTGCACATCTGATTTTTTAATTGATTTTATTGTTACGTGTACTGAAGTACAGTGAAAAGCTTTATTTACGAGCACTACAGACAGATCATGGTAAGCAAGCATGTACAGATCAAAATAACTTAGACAGAGGTACAAGCTACATTGCACAGGGCGTGTGCTAGGCAAGATCAGCGTTAGCAAGATCAATCATTATTTGAGGCTAGAGAGTCTATTCATCAATCTAATAACAGTAGGGAAGAAGCTGCTCCTGAGCTTGCTTGTGCAGGTGTCAGGTTTCTGTAACTTCTGCCTGACAGAAGAGGTTATAAGAGATCATTACTGTGTGCGATGGGTCATTGATGTTGGCAACCTTTCCGCAGCAGCAAGCCACGTAAATGGACTCCATGGATGGAAGGTTGACTTCCGTGATGGTCTGGGCTGTGCACACCACCTTCTGTAATTTTTTATGGTCCTGGGCAGAGCATTTGCCATTCCAGGCTGTTATGCACCCAGACAGTTTACTTTCAATGGTGCATCTGTAGAAGTTGCTGAGGGTCCTTATGGACATGCCAAATTTTCTGAGCCACCTGAGGAAGAAGTAGTGTTGTTTTGTTGCCTTGACTGTCACATTTACGTGAGCAGTCCAGGACAAGGTGTTGGTTATTGTTACTCCGAGAATCTTGGTGCTCTCCACCCTCTCAACCTCAGTTCCATTGATGTAGATGGGGGCGTGTTCTCCTTTCTTTTTGAAGTCAATGATTAGTTCTTTAGTTTTGCTGACATTTGAGAGACAGGTTTTTTCATTGCATCATGTCACCAAGCCCTCTATCTCCCTTCTGTATTTTGACTCGTTGGTGTTAAATATCTGTCCCATTCAAGTGGTGTCGTCAGCGAACTTGTAGGTGCCGTTCATTTGGAATTTGGAAACACAGTCATTGGTGTATAGGGAATACAATAGTGGGGTGAGAACACATTATTGGGGGACTCCAGTGTTGAGTGTGGAGGAGGTGCAGTAACCTATCTTCACTGATTGCGGTCTGTGGGTCAGGAAGCTGAGGAACCAGTTGCAGAGGGCGGAGCCAAGACCAAGGTCATGGAGTTTTGAATCAGAGATAGCAGGAACTGCAGATGCTGGAGAATTTGAGACAACAAGGTGCAGAGCTGGATGAACACAGCAGGCCAAGCAGCATCATAGGAGCAGAAAGGCTGACGTTTCGGGCCTAGACCCTTCATCAGAAATGGGGGAGGGGAAGGGGGTTCTGAAATAAATAGGGAGAGAGGGGGAGGTGGATAGAAGATGGATAGAGGAGAAGATAGGTGGAGAGGAAACAGACAGGTCGAAGAGGTGGGGATGGAGCCAGTAAAGGTGAGTGTAGGTGGGGAGTTAGGGAGGGGATAGGTCAGTCCAGGGAGGATGGACAGGTCAAGGGGGTGGGATGAGGTTAGTAGGTAGGAGATGGGGGTGCGGCTTGAGGTGGGAGGAGGGGATAGGTGGGAGGAGGAACAGGTTAGGGAGGCGGGGACGAGCTGGGCTGGTTTTGGGATGCGGTAGGGGGAGGGGAGATTTTGAAGCTTGTGAAATCCACAGGGCTCGAACAGTTCATCCACTTCACCGACACCTTCCACCCCAACCTTAAGTTCACCTGGACCATCTCTAATACCTGTCTCCCCTTCCTGGACACCTCTGTCTCCATCTCGGGCAACCACCTAGAAACCAATATCCATTTCAAGCCCACCGACTCCCACAGCTACCTAGAATACACCTCCTCCCACCCACCTTCCTGCAAAAATGCCATCCCTTATTCCCAATTCCTTCGCCTCCGCCGCATCTGCTCCCAGGATGAGGC